GGACAATCACTGATACGTGTGTGCCGCCAGCTTCTGAACAAGTTCGTCGGCGAGTCGGAGCGCGCCGTACGCGAGATCTTCAGCAAAGCTCGCGCAGCCGCGCCGTCGATCGTCTTCTTCGTGCGTCAACTCTTCTTCTGCCCCCTTCTATTCAACGTAGACGTAGAACCGCCTAACTGGTATCGGACGCTCTAGGACGAGATCGACGCGCTCGCGACATCGCGAACCGCGTCGGACACGAGCGGTGGCGCCCACGAAGGTGTGCTCACCTCGCTCCTAAACGAGATGGACGGCGTGCAGGAGCTCGTCGGCGTCACCATCGTCGCGGCGACGAACCGCCCCGATGTCATCGTGAGTCCCTGTCCCCCTGTTCTTCTGCTTCCTTCTACCAGCCCTGTCATCGCTCAACCACTCCCATGGCTTTTGCTCGTAGGACTCCGCGCTGATGCGCCCCGGACGACTCGACCGCATCCTGTACGTCGGCCCGCCCGACTTTGAGGGCAGGCTCGAGATCCTGCGCATCCGTACGCGCAAGATGAGCGTCGCGCCGGACCTCGACCTCGAGCAGATCGCCCGCATGGTACGTCCTCCCCCTTCCCCTCGGTCCCCCACGCGAGAATGCTGATACGAATTGACTGCGTTCACTCGCTCTGCTGTTATCGCTGTGCAGACGGAAGGATGCTCAGGCGCGGAGATCACGGCGCTCTGCCAGGAGGCGGCGCTGCTGACGATGAAGGCGGACATCGACGCGCCGTTCGTGCCGAAGGAGGCGTTCGTGAAGGCCGCGCAGAACATCAAGAGGCAGATCACGCCCGAGGTGGTCGAGACGTATGTGCGGTGGCGGGACAGGAACGGCGTGGCGGATGCTTGAGCCCACCACAGGCATGGGGGTGAGAGCTTGAAGACGCATACGCTGGCAGGTGCTTGCTTATCCTGCGTTTGCTGGGGGGTTCAAGTGGATGTGATTGCAAAGTGTGGAATTGTAAAATGAGCCGCAAGGAAGAAGTGTAGCAATACAATGTTGTCGCGCCTCTACATGTATGCGGTAGCGTCGCTATAGCTAGACGATCTCATCAACCCCCTTCTCTAAGCGTCCTCCCAACAGCCCGCGCGATCCCATCCCGTTCTGGGTGTCATCGCCGCTCTTCTCATTGTCGCCCTCAACCACCCCCTTCTCTTCCACAACGGCCGCATGCCCTTCCCCGTCCACACCTCCATCGACATGCCCAACCGCACCCACCTCCGAACGTGCGCCTTCCAAATCGTCGTACCTTATCGGCGGCCCCGGTTGAGCTGTATCAGCAACATCAACACCACCATCACCTCCTCCCATTCGAATCCTGCTCTTCCTGAGCTCGCAGCCGCCCTCCCATCCGATCCACGTGTACCGCTTGCAATGCGGCCCACGTAGGAAGAGAACGAGGAGGGTGAACGCCGTCCAGGCGAGGTTGAGCGCCGCGGTCTGCCGCCAGCCGTGCGAGTTGAACACCTCCGCGCCGACGGCGGTGCCCATGACCTGCCCGATGAACAGCTGTATGCCGCGCGCGGACGTTCCCCATCAGAATTAAGGCCACTTCGACGAGAGACAGTGGAGAGAGAATGGCAGGACTCACAGAGAGGATGAACACGGCATTGAGCCTCGAGCGCGCGCGTGCGTCCAGCCCAAGCACAGCGGACGTGAGCGCGACCTGTTGTATCTGCCGGAAGACGTCGATCCCGATGCACACGATCACGACCGCCGCCACGTTGAGCCCCGCCGCGCCGGTCTGCACGACGAAGGTCACGATGAAGCCGAGGATGGAGACGAGCGCGGCGGACCACGGGACGAGCTTGTCGATCGCGCGCCCGCTGAGCGGCGCCACGGCGACTCCGACCATGCCCACGAGACCGAAGAGGCCAATGACGAGGCTGCAAGAAGGACAGGGATATGTAGGCGAACGTACGGGAGAAGGCTGAAGGTAGACTTACGTCGAATAGTGGTATGGGGCGTTTCCGAGAAGGAACGTGAGCGTTACCCACCAACTCGTGTAACACGCGCTGGCGGGGATGGTGATCAGGATCGCCTGCACGAGCAATGGCTCCGTCACCGTGAACTTTGCCATGCTGTACAGGATACCAAAGTACGTGACGCCCGTGTTCTTCGCGGGGTAGTCGGGGAGCATCCAGTAGAGCATCGCCAGCACAACGTACTGCACGCCGATGGCGATGTAGTATACGACGCGCCAGGTGACATATTGCGCGACTATCCCGGCGAGCACTCGGGCGATGAGTACGCCAAGAAGGAGGCCTGCGAGGACGTTCGAGAGTGCAGAGGCGCGTTTGTGGGGTGGGGCGAGGTCCACGGCAAGGGGCATGAGGATCTGTGGTATCACGCTAAAAAGACCAACGAAGAATGACAGGATCTCAAACGCGATGAGGTTCTTCGTGATAGCTAACCCAATTGAGAGAGAGGCGGTCAGGAACGTGAGTAAAAGGAGAAGTTGTCGCCGCCGTACGAGATCCCCGAGAGGCGTGATGAAGAGCAGCCCGATCGCATAGCTGCGGTATTTCAGGATCATAGATAGACCAGGAGAGGCATCGCCGCACTCACCCAGCTTGTACGAGCGTTGGTATGTTCGATACCTCTTGATATGTGACACCGAATGACTCAGAGAATTGAACTATGAAGGCAACTCATTGAGTCAAATCATGCCTCTGAGAGATGATGGTGGTATAAACGCACTGAGGAGCGGTTGACAGTAGTACAGGTTCGCGACGACTACTGGATGGTCAACATCGCATCATGCCAGATAGTCGGATCGAGAGCATACCGAAGGTACTAGCGAAGCAAAACGCAGCATTAAGGGCCAAGCCGTAATGTGCAGGTCGCTCTGGGTCGTATCGCAGTCGCCTGGGCACTGGCAGGAAGCCAAGGTCCTTTGACACTACCTCTGGTTCGTCCAGCTTCTCTATAGAAGACTCGTGTAATTTCTCGGCAGCAGGCAGAGTCTCTGAAGAGAAGGCATTGTCGCGGTTGGCAGAGTCGAGCTCAGAGGACATGGTGGTCTCGGAGTCGTGCACGATGCACGAGGCAAAGTTGGAGAACGCGGTCAGAATGGGCGGACATGGAGGAGCTTATAAGCCTGCGGGTTCATCGGAGGAGCTGATAGTAAGGCCATGACAGTGAGGAGACAGTCTTCGCGACGTGCGACGTCCTCGCTGTCGGATATGGTAGGAAGCCTGCACTGGGCCATAAGTCGGCATCAGCCATCTCTATTGAGAACCTATCCGCCTACCACTATCACTGACAGCTCCTACATGAGCGCATCTGCTTCACGCTGATAGAGAAGCGTTTCGCCATGTTTCCTGCAGCTGTTCATCCGCGTCATGGCAGCAAGTGCGGTGGTCGACGACTTGACGAAAGCTGGTCTGTCTTCTGAAATCCCACGGCCTTCCAACTGCCTCCCCTCCCAAATTAGGACACCGCACGGCTTATTCGGCTATGCTTTTACCCGGCCCGGACTCCGGTGACCATGTCGCCGGCTACTAGCCATACGCCACAACCCCGCATTCTCAGCTATGAACCAAGCCGTCCTCGACTCGCCCTTGCTCTGTCTCTGCACTCGCAAACATGGCTACTTTCCAGGTGGATAACCTCTTCAACGTCAAGGGCAAGGTGGTGCTGGTCACCGGAGGTAGCCGTGGCATCGGCAAGATGGTACGTCGACCACTGTGTCGTGTTCAAAACGCAGGACTTACCAGGTTCCGCTGCCATGGCGTGTAGATTGCAACCGGGTTCGTCAAGAACGGCGCAAAGGTACGTTCGCACTCCGTAACACCCAAACTAGAGACGCGTCGAGATCAACATTCAAGATCGCTAGGTCTACATCTCGTCTCGTTCGGCAAAGGACTGCGATGCCACCGCGAAGGAGCTCAACGCGCTCGGCCCCGGGACATGCATCCCGCTCCCCGCAGACATGCAGAAGCTCGAAGAAGTCGAGCGTCTTGTCAAGGAGCTCAGCGCGCGCGAGAAGGCCCTGCACGTTCTCGTAAACAACGCCGGCGCGGCGTGGGGCTCGACCCTCGACGAGTACCCGGTGAGCTTGTCCATTTTGCTCCTACCATCCGAGATCCTTCTGCTCATCGTGGCTTTGTGTGCAGGACTCTGCGTGGACGAAACTCCTCACGCTGAACCTCCAGCGCGTCTTCACGCTCACGCAGAAATGCCTGCCTCTCCTCCGTGCCGGAGCGGAGCAGGGAGGGCTAGACGGAGACGTCTACCGTGACCCAGCTCGTATCATCAATGCATGTATCACCCTTAGATCACGCTGCTCTTCGCACTACTGACTTCAGCATGTCGCCAGATTGGGTCCGTTGAGGGCCTCGCCGTTCCCGACCACGAGACGTACGCGTACTCGGCGTCGAAGGCTGGCCTGCACCACCTCAGCCGCCACCTCGCAGGCCGTTTGGGCAGCGAAGGCATCACCAGCAACACCCTCGCATGCGGTACGTCTCCTCCTTGGTTCCACAAGCACCCGATGGTTACTGACATCATGTACCCACTACTCAGGTCCGTTTGAGAGCAAGAGTAAGCTCTCAGCTCGAACCTCCATTGCTCAAACCATGATTGACCAAATCACCCTCTTTTGACAGTGATGGCACAGACGCTGCGCGAACACGGCGAGATCATCCGCGCGAGCATCCCGCTCGGTCGCATTGGCACGGCGGAGGATGTCGCGGGCGCTTGCATCTTCCTCGCCAGTCGTGCGGGCGCGTGGATCAATGGGGCGACAATCCAGGTCGACGGTGGGAGCATCGTGCGGATGGGCTTCCGGATGCCTGCGGCGAAGTTGTAGGCCTTAGGTCTAACCGCGGATCCGTTTCTGACTGTGCTTGACACCCTATTTAATTGTACAATGGCAGTCTGGTACTTATCGTGATGCAGACGTCAGGCTGGGAAAGCTGCAGGAGAACAATGTTGAGATAATATGAGCAAAACGATTGGGCAGAATAGAACAAAACGACACCAGCAGGATTCGAACCTGCGCTCCCAGAGGGAAACAGATGCTCGAAACTTAGTTCTAATCTGTCGCCGTAACCACTTGGCTATGATGTCATGTCAGATAAATGTCTTTAATAATTGATACCGTCTTCACAACCGGTAAGTGGCGAGGGGGTCCTCCCTCCCAGCCCGGAGCTGGACTGACACTGACCACCAGTCGACCTGTCTCACAAGTTCCCTACACCTCCACCACATCTCGAGAGTGCAACTCTAAGACTCCTGAAGCTCGGCCTCCGCAACGCGCGTTCTAGAGCTAACAAGCGAGGACTATACGGCTCAATCGACTGCAGACTGCAGACTCGGACTTGTATCTGGATCGCACCGGTCGAGACGAGCCGGGACTAGACCCGATGGCGGACACAACCAGCGGTGCGCCCGTATAAATGTCCCGCGCATATCCAGCCGTTCTCACTCACTCACCGTCCTACCCATCCTCTTTCAAACAAAACGACCACCATGGCCGCCGCCCCGTCAGACAAACCGATGCGCCAGCGCGTCGAGGAGTACATCTCCAAGCTTCAGGACGACATCGTCTCCGCATTTGAGAAGCTCGACCCGAACGCGCCCGCGTTCAAGCGCGACGAGTGGCTCCGCGCCCAGGGCGGCCGCGGCCGCTCGTGTGTGTTCGCCGTACCCGTCCCGCCCGCAGGCGTCGCCCCGCAGGAGACGGTGCTCGAGAAGGGCGGGGTGAACATCTCCGTCGTGCACGGGATGCTGCCCCCGCCCGCGATCAAGCAGATGCGCGCGGACCACTCCTCGATCCCGGACGTCCAGGGCAGCGTGCCCTTCTTCGCGGCCGGCATCAGCCTCGTCATCCACCCCCGCAACCCGCACGCACCGACCGTGCACGCTAACTACCGCTACTTCGAGATCACCGAGCCGCCCACGGAGGAGGAGCGGGCAGCGGGCAAGCCAGGGAAGCTCATCGCGTGGTGGTTCGGGGGCGGGTCGGACCTCACACCGTCGTATCTGTACGAAGAGGACGCGGTGCACTTCCACCGGACGATCAAGGACGCCTGCGACGCGCATGGCGCGGCGGTCTACCCTGCGTTCAAGAAGTGGTGCGACGAGTACTTCTTCATCCCGCACCGCGGCGAGGCGCGCGGGATCGGCGGCATCTTCTTCGACGACCTCTGCGACGAGGCGCACGCCCGCTTCAAGCCGGACGACGCGCGCCCAAAGAGCCCTGAGGAGATCTTCGCGCTCATCCGCGCGGCGGGCGACGCGTTCGTGCCGTCGTACCTCCCCATCCTCGAGCGCCGCGCGCGCACGCCGAGCGACGCGCACGAGCGCCGGTGGCAGCTCCTCCGCCGCGGGCGATACGTGGAGTTCAACCTGGTGTACGACCGTGGGACGAAGTTTGGGCTGATGACGCCCGGCGCGCGCATCGAGAGCATCCTCATGAGCTTGCCGGAGACGGCGCGGTGGGAGTACATGAGCGAGCTGGGAACGGACCCGGAGTCGCGGGAAGGGAAGCTTGTCGAGGTGCTCAAGAACGCACGGGAGTGGGTATGACGGTCGGATGCGCGTATTGGAAGTATTCATGGAATGTGAGTACGAACACCTCCTCGTCTCGCGGCGTTCGTGGCTGACTGTCGTCTAGTAGTGTGTACAGTAGCATCCTCGTCATCCTAGATAGATTGGCACTGGTGTGCAATATCAACCCCACTCTGCGCTTTACCGGGCTAAGACACATCGCGCGCACCGCTTGAACCACAGCTGCATCGGATTTACAGTGAAACTCATTTACAGTCATGTCATCGCTGTCGTAGTCAAAGCCAATCTGTGCTACGGTCGCGACGAGCCCGGAATGACGGTATGTTCAAGTCTTGTCTATAGGCCAGCGGATGTCAAGGCATGCACGCGTATTCGAGACGTGCTGAGACTTACCTCCATGCTCTGACCCGCAGGTATACTCTGGTGATCTCTTTGTCCGCTTGTTGTTGTTTCGTGGTATACTCAGCTTCTGGAGCGGCTCCCATGTCCGTGATCCCAGATGATCATCGTCAACAGTATTCGATGGTGCACCACATGTGCGCCGCTCCAACTTGCGCCGCTTGGTCTTCCTCTCGCTAGTGTCGACGGATGCTCCGCGGTCCTCGTCTCCTTCGTCTTCTTCAAGACACCCCGCCACCCTCTTCTTCGACACCCGCTGCTCTTGACTCGGAATAGTGGCAGGATGAGGGGTGGCGTTCTCTTGGATGTCTCGAACCTCATGGACGATCGTTCGTGCAACTCGATCGTTGCGTCCCGGCGACTCCTCGTCCAAAAACCGACGCCACCGTGCGGCGAGTTTCTCGGGGTTGGACCACAACTTGCCGGATGCAGACTCGTTGTAGCCAAAGCTCCCCTCGGACATTTGCGTTTGGACGGGGTGATGGAGATCCATCAGCTTGTTGAGCCACTTATGCAACGCCGGGTCGGTGAACTGGACTCCGTTCGTGTACTTGCGCTGGATGGCGTTCATGACTTTGTGATCGCCGCCTTGTATCTCGTGACGATACCGAGAGGCAAAGTCGAACATCTCGGTCAGTTGAACGAGCAGCTGCTCCTGTTCCGCGGTATGCCCGAGCCAACGAAGGCTACAGTATAGCATAACGTACAGCAAGGACTCCATGTCGTCTTGTATGCGATGCGGCCTAGGGAGTCTAAGCAGTATGCCGATAGATACGAACTGCCACATGGCCTGCCATACACAGAATGTTAGTAGTGCACGGAGGCGCGCTGAGAGAGGTTGGTATCTCATACATCATGAGGGGTTCGCGTTCGTTGGTTCGGACCGTCTATACCACCAGAGAGGTCCCAATCGACCAGAAAAGCTCGCCGATCCACATTTGCTTTCTCGCGAAAGAGAACTATACTTGCAGGGTGGACGTTTCTGTGAAGGCGCTTCAAGGCGAATGCATCGCACATGGCTGCGACATGCCACGGACAACGGCAACACATGTCAACCCATAAGTTACAAAGAGGAAGTAACACTTTTCTAACCTTGTAACGCATGGTAACCCGCCGTCAACAATTCGTTTGTCCCTCTCAGTCTTTGTAGCCCATACCCAGCAACGGAGTGAACCAAACGATAATGCGAATAGCGAACAATGGATGGCTGATCCACGCCTAGATCGCATGCCCAACGTGCTGTCACAAATTCCTGTGTCCTAGTCAATTGACGACCTACTCAACGCGTCATTAACACGTCTGCGTGACTGTCATGAGTGAAGTAGACTCACTATCAGGATTATCGGGGATGCTCAAGACGTCACCGTGGCTCAGCACAGCCGGTACATTCGCAACACCGCTGCGGGCGAGATAGTCTATAATTGTGCCTTCCTGCTCCGCACCATCCGCGTGGAAGCGCCAGGTGTCCTTCAAGGATGCTACCTGACCAGTCTCGGCATCAACCGCCCAGTAAGTCCGAGGTGCGCGGCCAACAACAGACAAGGGAGCTGTGAGGGGACGCGAAACCAGGTATCGTCGAGGCTCACGAGTGTTGGCGTCGGGTATGCAGATGGCCGAGACCGCTTTGGGTTGATAGTGCTCCAAAACCGCGGGTTCCAGACGGCGGTCATGCAACTCGAGCTGCAATGCAACGTGCTCTCGGATGGAGTCCCGGAACTTGATTTCCTCGGCTTCGCTTGCGACCTCAACGCTGAGATCCATGCCTCGCTCAGCCTCCGACATGTGAGCATAGCGCCAGAGGAACTCGCACAGAATCTCTGGTTCGTGGTGCAGATCAAATGTCCGGGTGACCACGAGGCCAGAGCGATCCCAGCGCATGAGTCGGGCCCAACACCCGGAGAGAGATATCGAGAAGCAGCAGTGACGGAATTGCCGAGCGCACAACTCTGTCGCGTACGCTATGTTCTGGCCGAAGTACTGCAATGATTCCCGTTTCGTGTCGCCCACTTTCAACAGCCGGGCATCGCGTGACGATCTCCAGTGAGCTGGCGGATCCTGGAAGAAGTCCTGCAGTGGTTCACGTTTGATCTCGATGAAGAAAGTGGCAAAGCCCATGTCTGCCCGCGAGTGCGAGTCATTGACGCGGACACGGGCGACGTGCTCATGGGCGTAGCACAACACGTCAGGTTTCAATGTGTAGACGCCGCGTGTATCTGGATGTTCGGATGTGTTCAGGAAGGTGAAGCCAGGGCATCTAGGCGATGATCCGTCGGATCCAGTATCATTGAGAGCCTCGATCTACGACATATGCAATCTATAGTCAATCCGTAAGGATGAGCCGCTCCGATATGCACTCACCAGCGGTTCATAGATATCAGATTCTGCTTTTCCTGTTCTAGGTACGAATTCGAACGCGTTTTTGGGCGACGGCATCTCGTTCAAGACGTCAGCTGGACACCTACAGAACGTCTCCAGGAAGTCTCGAGGCGATATTGGGCCAAGAGTAAAGCGCGCAGTTTCTTCGCCTAAGCGCACATACCGTGCGTTGAAAACTTTCGGTGAATGCCCAAAGACCTCGGAGCTGTTCTCAATCAAGGTGAGTGGGACATTGTACATCCCGACGGAAGGCGTATCATGATCCTCCAGGGTGGCCAGTATGAGGTCGTCCAGGCTGTTGGTGCTCGCTTGGCTTTCGTCATTCACGAAGGCAAGGAAGTCGAAGTCAGGGTCGAGTAGAGTTTGTGACATTAGCCGCCTCCAGTAGTTGACTGACAAGAGGTAGAGGTAGACGAGTGCTTGTAACGCGCGAGAGCCAGAGATGGGACGGATGGGACGGGGTTAGCCTGGAACCAAACGCCGACGTGCATGAGTTTTGAGGGATGTCCACAACCGCGTCTCCGGTCTCTATAGCAGGATGTTATTGTTAACCAATTGAGTAGTTGAGTAACGGCGAACAGGTCCGTTCCCATGGATGCTCTGGATGTATTAATTGGGCACCTGGCAGTAGAAAGTCACGACACCTGCTCATTTCCGTAGTTTGATCTGATCGCCTATAAGCCACAATCCCAATACTCGTTCTGATGTCAACATACGGACCAACATCACTCGACCCGGAGCTCTTTCAGCTATGCGCTTACATCAGCTGCCACCCCTTCTTA